TACATTAAATACTGCACCGGTGCACATAGCTGCGTGACTGATATACATTTTAATCGTGTTCAATATTCACTCGTGAAAGTTTGCAAATTTGGATTTTGGAGCCATTGACATGAATGAAGTCCCTTCAACGATTTATGTCCCAATGCAAAATCTTTTCGTTTGCTACGGCCTTTAAACTAAAAATAAACCCATTATTATTTTTCCAGGTAAGGCACACTGAGTTATTATATAGCTCTTTATCAGAAGCGACCTGGCCACAAATGATAGCCCTATGATGTGGCTTATCATGTGGAAATTTATCGCAGCCAAATATTCTCAACGCATTTTTCTAAACGCGGAGGGAAAAATCGAACGACCTGGAGAAAAAAATCCATGGCGACCACAGGGAAAACATGCAACTTCAAGTAGGCGCCAGGGCCGGTATCAAACCCACGAACTCTTGTGTACCAGGAAAGGGAGTTAACATCTAGCCATCCTTGGTTTAGGTGTACTGTGTCTTGCGATGTTTTATTAATTATTCATTGCTGTCTTCGTGTGCAGCGTTGTGAGATGCAGTTTTTCACGAACGACACTACATAAAAAATGAATTATTACTGTTTTGATTTAAAGCTTTCGTGACTGCAGTAATTCATATTTTTACTGTATTAAGGTTGGCCCAAGTGCTCAGCTCTGTTGGTGTTCCGGCACCAGCAGAGGGCACTAACTAAATGGATTATAAATGGGAGTATCCTACCCGCAATGCCTCTCCCGACTGTGTCAATGTGTGCTCTGAATGTATTGCTGACTGTGAATGTGTGCCGACTCTGCATGTGTGTGTCAACCTAGTGCTGACCAAGGGCACAGACTGCTTTGGGTATTTCTTGACAATATACTGTACGGATACAAAATAATGTTGGTGGTTTTCTTAGACACCCAAGACACCCACAGTGGATGCGCGGGCCCTGAGAACCAGTGATACACTTTTAGTAATTTCTACGATGGAGGCCAGATGTTATTACAGGACAACTTTCTGGAGCAGTATTTGTATTCCTGTTATATTGGACAGTGCAACCTAATAATGCGATGCTCATTTCACCAACCCTGGAGGGATGATTATGGAGTTCATTGCGATGCCAATGATGTTGATGCCCTAATGAGGAGGAGGGTCGTGGCAACTGGAAAAGTGATGATGCGCTGTTGGGGGAGAACACGTGAAGGTGTTTTTATTACGTGAGATTAAGCCAATGCATGAGACGATAGAAATGAACGTAGTAAATATTCAGTGTAATGCGAATGTTCATATATGTACAGGGAGCAAATCAAAAGCGTGTCTAAGTCAATGCAAAACAACGTATCTCAGTCAAGCAAACACGACTTGCTGTGAGGTCTTCACTGTACAAATGTACTACATTCCTCCAATGCAGTACAGTACATGAATGTGGCCTTTGAGGCTTTTGGATAAAATGTTGCAGAAGTGGTTTTGAATGTATAAAAAAAACCCTACAGGCATTGTTTTGCAATATCACCAACACCCCGCATAATCAAAGAATCTTCAAAGTGCATTGAGAAACAAATATCGAAATGGAATGAATGAAATAATGATATACATCATTCAAGTTCGAGACGTATGGACTGCTAAGATAAGTAAATATGCTAGGGCAGAGGACAAATCTCACTTCAATGATTAATGGTCGATGGTCAAGAATAATGATTGATTGGTAACAACCACGAACGGAACATACCGCAGAGGTCACGTGAATGTCGTTGTGCTCGACCAGGGTTCGGCAACCAACATAACAAAAATAGTTTAAAAAAAATCAAATTCGGTAAAAAAACTCAACCTTTCAAGAGCCGTCGCAATGCAAGTCAATAGGAGACGGTGGCCCTTGATGAGTAACGCCACGGAACAGTCCTTAAAGAGCCGCAGGTTGCAGACTCCTGCACATGATAAACTGGCTTTCCATGGTAAAATGGACTTCCATGATAAACTGGCCTCTCATTGTAAACTGGATTTCCATGGTAAACTGGACTTCCATGATGACCTTGCCTCTCATTGTAAACTGGATTTCCATGGTAAACTGGACTCCCATGATGACCTTGCCTCTCATTGTAAACTGGACCTCCATGGTAAACTGGACTTCCATGATGACCTTGCCTCTCATTGTAAACTGGATTTCCATGGTAAACTGGACTCCCATGGCTCAGGGATCGGCACCCAAAATAACAAGGGACATTTTTTTTGAATTCGGTAAATGAACCCCCCCCCCCCCCTCTCTGTCAATATTATATCAAGAGCCGCAATGCAGTCGTTAAAGAGCGGCATGCGGCTCCAGAGCTGCCGATTGTTAACATTGCAGGACCGTGAGAGGTGGCGACCGCCTGGTGATGTATTCATCCAGCAATGGATTGATCATGGCTAAAATATTATACTAGGAGTTAATTTAAGGATTATGTAAAGTGTAACACGGCCATTTGTTATGCGTGTTGTATTGCACGCATACCCAGCCATTGCTTGTACTAGTGTCGGAAACGTTTACGAAACTGAACACATTCCTTCGGAGGGAGCTGGTCGGAACGTTGGGTTGCTCGGTCAATGGCCAGGGTCAACGGCGGCACCACGTGGTGTATTCCGCAAATATGCCCGACTGTAAGGGCAGGCACCATGGGGTGACCAGTCCCTCCGCACCAAGCCCCACCCCTCCCACCCCCCACCCAGCCCCGACTCTCCCCACCCAGCCCCTCCCCACCCTCCCCACCCAGCCCCTCCCCACCCTCCCCACTCAGCCCCTCCCGACCCTCCCCTCTCCACCCAGCCCCACCCCTCCCACGTGGACAGACATCCACAGACATACACAATTAATCCCCTGCCTCCTGTGAATTAATCCCGGTTGGGCTTCCAGTCCACTACGTTTCCTACCAGTATTAAAGGGGAACAAATTAGCACCGTTTGGGAACAGCGAGGACTTGGGAGTAGAGAACCTGCCACACAGGCTGTGCAATTCTTAAATTACGACAGCTCAATAACAAGTGTTTTCATTTGCGATTGCATGTATGTTGAACTTCTTTCTCACCGTACGTAGCCAACCGTGCCTATGGATTGGTGGATCCTATTGCCACTCCGGCCCTCTAAACCCGAACAAGTCCATTATTTAGCCTTCCCACAGCAAGCCTTCTCCACTTCATTACCTCCACGTTTGCCAAGCGTGACATCAACCTGTGAACCTTGGCGAGACTGAACCTGCACGGCGAGACGGGCGCACCTGCAGTGTGACGTCACCATGTTGGTCATCGTCAATGTGATGACAACCGCGCTGACGCCGCGTGTCTACGATGGTTTCCCGTAATCCAGCACTGTGGAGCCGAGGGGTTCGTTAATCAGAGATAGATAACAAAATGTCCTGACCCTTCCCGTGAGCGTCGACATGCAATAACCCTGGCTTGGTCAGCAGAATGCAGTGGCGCAAAGTGGGCATTGATATGATCTGTCGCTTCTGTGCGTGATACGATTGTGCGTGGGGTTTTCTCGGGGTGGTCCGGTTTCCTCGGACATGCATAAACACTCATTGGCTCAAAACATCTTCTTACCTTACAGCGACAACTGCAGAGCAATTGTTTACACTGGCTCAATGCCTGGCAGCCTTTACAGCTTTGTCTGTGGTTCCTCAGCGATTGTGAGATGAAATTAGCATTAACGATACGATATTAAATGAATAATCGGAAATTTATTTTATGGTGATACTCGGATATATCGCAAGATATAAGATCCACGATTATCGTTTTAATAAGTCCATTATTTTGACACAAAATGGTTATATGAATCGATTGGCGGTAGCCCGGGTCACCGCAAAATATTGGTGGGCCGGGCATAGTTTAAGGGTTTTTTTTCTTTCTGGGAGCATCGCTGGTACCACCACCCTGTCCTGCCGGAGGGCGACGCTGGGAGCGATGATGAGGACGACGATGTCGACCCCGCCAGCACGACCGTGACCGCCGGCCGTACCAGAAGAGCGCCTGGTGCGCCATTGCCTCCAAGTGGCCTCGCTCCCAAAGACAAGGAGGGTGGCCGCCCCCGTAAGAAGCAGAACGTGCCGGGGAATGACCAGACCGGCATCCTGATGTACTTTCAAAACAAGCAATAAACAGCCGCTGCCACACACAAATCCCGAGCAGCCCCCCTTTTTTACAGGTGTTTTGCGTGTGTTTTTTTTATTTACATATTTGGCGTGCGTATCGGGCTCAGTGACATCTCCCGTCTTCATAGGCCTTCTGGTTTCGGAGTTATGGAGGTTTTGGCACCCCCAGGTCACGATGGTGACTCGGGTCACCGTCAATCGATTCATATATCGTATTTTTCACTGCTTATTTTATTTTAGAAAAGTAATATATTTCCCAATAATCTAAACGGAATGGCTAACAAACTCAGTCATTAAATTTGCAAATAAGTAACTGCATTCATCATACTGATGCTTTGAGAAACGTTTTTCAGAGTAAATTACACCATGGAAATTATAGGAAAGTCAATTGATAGTTGGCGGAATTTATTTGTTACTTTGCTTTCTAAAAATAATAAACTTGTAACGCGTCATGCAGTATGCACTCGCTCTCGAAGAGAGATAATGACTCGGAGGCGCGAGGAGGAACCACAGACGAGTGGGAAAGGTGGCCAGGCGGTGAACTGGTGCCAAATGCCTCCCGAGCTCTGGAGTCCTCTATATATTTGGGTATTATTTGTCAATGAATGAATGTTTACACGTCGGTGGAAACCGGAGCACCCAGAGAAATCCCACGCATGTGAAGGGACAACACTCTCCAATACAGATGGAACAGATGGTGTCCACATTTGCTATACTGCCTTCTCCTGGCACCCCAGGGCATGACACTTCAACGCCCACGGAGTTTGACAACGTTTGTGCGAACCACCAAGGTAAGTTTATAGCTTGTGCTTTTATAAGCATTGTGGATTGTAAAGTTGTAATACATTGAAGATGGGGCAGGCTTATGTTGAGTTAAATGCAGCTAAGTAATGTTAAATTAGCCTTTATTCACGCTAGAAAAGTACAGCAGAGCACAGAAACTAAATAATAAAACCGTGAAAAACAATTGCCAAGTTGTGGAAAAATTATATCGCGGCTATAGCCATGGAATCAAATGTGATATATCGTACCGCGAAAAAAACGATATCACGTCAACCAGAGTGCTTTCCCGCAGCCTACGAGTGGCAGGGCCATTGTGTCTCAGCGCCGCGTTTCCTGCGGATATTTGATCTCGTCTCGTGAGGCCCCGTTTGTTGCCGCTCTGACAGCAGTGCGTAATGACACAACAACAGTTTAAATGAGTACTCATTCACCATGCGCCTGTTTAAATATAACTGGTTTATTACGTTGGTTAATGTCGCTAAACTACTCTCCTTTCTCTGCCCCTTTTGTTAACATTTAGAATGATCAAGCGATAGAAAGTTTTTGACAGCCATGTTTGGCTATCAACCCTTATCGTGGTAAATTGAAACTGTTGTGTTTGCGCATGTGGAGTGTATTTTTGGAAAATAATCAAAATGTATTTAGTTCACAGATACCCTTTATTATAAACTATGACTTATGGTAACATTTTACAAAAGTATGCGGAACTGTACACATCAATAATTGTGTACTTTTTTTAATTACAAACAGAAAAACTAAAATTGTCTGAGTAAAATTGCGTTTCAGTTTTATGTCGCTTTATTAAAATACAATTAATGCAAAAACTTGATTAAAATGCCTTCCAACTTAAATTCATGGTAAAATGTGCACAAAAGATCTATTCTTTTCCCACTTACCTCTGTTGAAAAGTTTGCATGCAAAAAACTCCATGAACCAAACTATTATGTCACCTTGTTTGGTTCACCAATATGAATACCAACATTTCTTATTATCTCGATATGTTTACGTGCTTTTCAGTCTTACGACGCGACTGTATGCTTAACACAATAGATACTACATATGGTCTACTTTGTGCTCTCTTATAAAAGGCTTTTCCAGAATCATTTAGATCAATTGTTGAGTCTTTTAAAATTCGTTTCTGAATACGTAACATGTTACACCCGTATGTGACTGCTATCGCACTGCATGCACAACACTGAAAGAGGTTATCGCAGTTTAAGGATGCCTCCTAAACACTGACGCAGGCGCCACGCAATGCTCGGACGACACCTCCTCAACAAAGGCCTCGGGATCACGTTGGCTTCTCATCATCTGTGCTGGGACTGACAGCGGCAGGCCTTGAGGGGACGTAGCTGTTGTGGAATCGCACAGTCTCGCCCTGCACACGCAGCAGCTCTCCCAGCTCCTCGCGCAGGCGCTCGATGTGCACGGCGCGCCGATTGTCAATGTGCCTCTTCCTCAGCGGGTTCATCTCCTGGAAGGCCAGGTGGGACAGTTTCCTGCCGAGGGACAGACGTTCCAGCAGCAGGTGCGGATAAAACAAGGGCAGCGCAGGCACAGTCACATACCAGCAGACAGACAAGCTATTGAACAACTCTTAATCTTTATACCAGGTAAGGCCCACCGAGCTATAGAAGCGACCTCGCCACAAATGATAGATTAATGAAGTGGCTTATCGTGTGGACATTTATAGCAGCGACATGCTCTTAAACACAAGCTTCTGAATGTGAAGGGAAAAACTGGAGGACCGGGAGAAAAAATTCACGCGACCACGGGGAGAACATGCAAACTCCAAATATACTGGCGTCAGGGTCGGGATAGAATCCATAAACTCCTGTATACCGGGCGAGGTAGTTAACATGTCGCCAATGTGGCACTCCATCTGAACAGGACTTCACCGACACAATGAGATGAGGCTCAGAACGTGGGCATTCCTGCAATTCTTGATGATCTCATTCTCTCTTTAGTCCTTTTGCAGAACAAGCTTGTGACACCATTGCTTAAGATACCACGTTTATTTTTTACAGGGACAAGTGTGATGGAGATAAGAATTTAGGGTAATTAAACATTTGCTGAAGCTTCAATAAGGTTATTTAGTTGGAAAAAATGTAGACAAGCAAGCAACTCGCTCTATTATATTCCAATTGTGACATTAATGATATACTAAGACTTGAATTTTTGCATGTCAACACAAAACTGTAATAAAGTCATACGTACTTAAAGTCGTATATGTTTCGTGGGAAGTAGCAGAGGTATTTGAATGCAGATGTGTAGTCTTGAAGTTGGAGCACTTCCTCCTCTTTAAACTTGAGAATTGCGAGGGCATAGCGAAAGATGACCTGTGGAGTTTCAAATTCAATAACAATTACATTCCTTTGCACCTGCTTTTTGAGGAAGATCCTTTTCATGAAGTTTAGCCAATCCTATTTTAAAATGCATTCTTTAGGACCGTTACAAAAACTAAACCTTCAAAATATTCCAAGTGAATGAGATGCATTTTTTGTTGTCAGGAACACCAACATAAACCATTGCATGCACAAATACATTAAATTAATCGATATATATGTTTTTTTTTTTATAAATCTATACTATAGATCAGCTCAAGCCTCCCGTAAGTCACGTGACTTCTCGTTAGCCACTCTCACTGAATCCCTCCCCTCACTGTCCCCTGAGAAAATGAAAAACGAAACTCTTTTTTACTTTACCAGGTAAGGCCCACTGAAATTTATAGTTCTTTTTCAGAAGCGACCTGGCCACAAATGATAGCTTAACAAAGTGGCTTATCATGTAGAAATGTATAGCAGTCAAATACTCTAAACGCATGTTTACAAATGTGGAGGGAAAACCAGAGGAGCCGGAGAAAAACCCATGTGATCATGGGGAGAGAGACATGCAAACTCCATATATAGAGGAGTCAGGGTTAGGATCGGACCCACGACCTCCTACATACCAGGCGAGGGAGTTAACATCTCGCCACTGCGGCACCCCAGACGTTATTCCATGCAGTTCACTTCAGCTTACTCCATCTTTCTACCATGAATCCCTCCAATATAATGAGATTATCCACAACATATTAGCTCAGTCATTCCCTCTTTCTTCCATTCAGTCGCATGTTCCTGTTCCTTTTCCATCCTATTCCTCTGATTTCTCATTCTCTCTCTGCTCTCTTCTTCCCATTCCTTTTTATTTTCCCAAGCATATCCTTGCCTCTACTCCCCTACATGTCGTGTGCCAGTGGTAAAAAAAAGTTTTATTTAAGCCTATACTGTATTGTAAAAACATTATTTGATCAGAATTTGGTTATGCATTTAGTGAGATATTTTAAGTCTAAAACACACACAATGGGAACACAAGGACTATCTCAGCTCTACCCGTTGCTTCATACAATATAACAGATGGACATTGTGCAGAGCTATGCAAGTGTGGTTAGTGATGAAGTTGAAAATGGAATGATGCTGTTGTGTGTGTAATGTGTCTATTAAGTTTGGTACAATGCACTGTGAAGATACCCTTTAGTCTTAATACCTTGAAAAATAACACATATTGAAAAAGAAATACGATCATATGAATTGCAAATAAATGCTCTGCATCTGTGGGAAAACAAAGAAAATGTAACCATTGACAACAAACTGCTGTTTACAAAAAAAAATTGAGTTATGGTGTCCTAATACTCATTCATCTGTCACAACACCCATCTGTAATGAGCATCGCACTGACCATGTACAGTGTTGCAAATTATTTATCCATAACCATTTAAAAGGTGAACGTCGAGACGTTGACATTGCGTGCATGTATGCATGTTGAACTTCTTTCGCACCGTGCCTAGCCAACAGCGCTAATCAGGTGTGGGGGAAAGACATGCCAAATGCTGGTGGGCGGTCCTCCATTGCAGGGACCTCAAGAGGGTATTTGATCTACCTCTTCCACGCCGATCATTTGTGCTTGACGAGGTTGGGAGCACCTCCACTTTACCCGACCACATACGACCTGTACTATTAACTGTGGTGTACCCATTTATACTGCTGGGTGGACAGAGCTGGGAGGGTTTATTTAAAAAAAAAACCTGCCCACATCCTTTCAGCTGCCGTGCCGGGAGATGGAGTGGTAACCGCAACCCCTGGATTGCAAGTCCAGCATGCCAACTATTACAGCACAGCAGCTCCCCGATAACCATTTATCCACATTTAATCGCAGACGAGTCAAACTGTCGTTTCTATCCTTGCCCTTGCCTCAATTGCCACCACTGACACGGGGCAAAATGTGCCTGTCTCCTTGACCGTGATTCATACTTCAGAACGCCCAGCAATGCACGCAAGACCGGTTAGACGCGTCTCTTCAATCAGTGAATGGAAATCCATGTAAAGGACCCCTTTTGTGTGAGCAGAAAACACGAACGTGATAAAGTGTCCATGTACAGGGTGATCCAGATGTCTTGTGACCCCCGCCCCCCCCCCCCCCCCATGAATTAAGTCCTGATTTTTTTTCCCCCTTTGCATATTAATTTCTGTTTTACATAAACCTTCCTTAAAAAAAAAACCTTACGTTTTCGATAATTAATTGGGGTTCACAAGAGATCTGGACCACCCAGCACACCGGTGCATCAAGCCGACGGGGCGTGCGTGCGAGCGAGCGCCACACCTTGCTCCCTTCGAAGAGCACGGCGTCCCACACGCGGAACAGCACGTCGCTCTGCAGGCTGTCCACAAACAGCACCAGGAACCAGTTGATGGAGGCGAGCGTGAGGTCAACGCCCAGCGATTCCAGGTGCTCGTGCATGCGAGGCAGTTTCTCGGCCACCAGCTCGCGTAGCACGCGCTGGTCAGCCTGCGCGGGACCGGGCAGAACGACACCAACTTGAGTATTTCCCCTCGAGGTCGTCAACTTGCCAAAAGGACATACAGCAGACAAGCGCTCGTACGTTGTCATAATTCGTCTATGACCAATAACTACGATAATAATTTACAGCCCTTTATCAATAAACTGAATGATGAAAGCTCCTCCACGCAAAGATTGCTGATCATACCATAGTGGCGAGATGTTAACTACCTCGCCTGGTATGCAGTAGGTCGTGGGTTCGATCCGGACCCCGATGCCTGTATATATAGAAACGTGTTTAGATTATTTGGCTGCTATAAATTTCCACGTGATAAGCCACTTCCTTGAGCTACCATTTGTGGCCAGGTCGCTTCTGAAAAAGAGCTATACAGCTCAGTGGGCTTTACCTGGTAAAATAAAAAAATAGTTAATACTTCACCAAATTGGTGAGTGTGGGATGGTAAAATTAAGGGTGGGATCAAGGACCCATTCAGATATCATTCTCCACTAATCTTATACATGGCCAGCAATAGCTTTAAAAAGGATTAATAATGGATTCACAATGCAATGTGCTAACCATTGTGGCTCCACTCCAAACATTAATCGAAGTTATTGATATCACTGGCGGTTAGAACACTTGCCAGTTAGGCCAGGTTGCAGAGATTTATTTATAATATTGCCACAATTGTTCGTTCTATATAAGGGCATTATGCTATCAACCTGGAAACTCAAGTCCAACTCCTGGCCACGGCCAGCATCAGTGGTGAGTGATATATTGCCGTGCTGGTTCTGTCTCTTCACCAGTCCACACTGACCGGCATTGGTAAGTATGGTCAAACAATCCTTATGATGGACACAGCGTGGGGGAGGCTTCATCCAGCTGTGGACTGTCCAAGGGCTGTACATGCAATATTTGAGTGGTAATAATATTACATTAAAAAAAATCACAAAATGTTGGCATACCTAAATTGATTCTATATAAGCTAAATAAATAAAATAGATTTGCGGTCAAACAACCATGTTGGAAGATTGCATACAACAAAGCACGTGATTTTGGCTTTTACAAGCAACAAATAACTTTTAAAATTGTGTATGTCCACGAGGACCAGAGGGCTACTCATTGCAATTTTTTTTTCACGTGCAAGTTCGCTATTGTTCATTTTTTTAAACACTCCCTGTTCTTACAGTTGAAAATTTGTTTCACACATTGACCAGAAAAGTCTCTCTCATTCTAGATGCCTTTGTCGTACAGTCTATCTACCATGAGGAGATAACAACATTTATTTATTTACTTACATATCTGTCTTGGTCAGTCCGACCACAAGATTTTCAAGTATTGTTAAAAGTGTTTGACAGCGCCAAGAACAGTATAACACGCAGGAATCCTTCAACGCAATCTGACAGTTGCGTTGGACACAGAGCTATGTTATGTACAAGTGTGTGCTTCCTACTTCAGCTACCTGCGCTGATTGGCTCGGTGAGGTATGGTCAAACAATCCCCACGACATGCACGGCTTGGGAGACCCTCATCCAGCAGTGGATTGACACATTCTACATGTAGAAGGATGGTAAGCTACCATTCCTGGATGTTCTGTTTGAGAAGAGGCCTGACGGATCGTTGGGACACTGACCACAGGAAAGCCACCCACACAGAGTCCTGCCTAAAACCTGATTCCCACCACCATCCGGCACAGAACAATTCCCTCATTAAAACACTACACCATAGGGCCCACTGCATCTCCGACCAATACCACCTAGCCAGTGAACTGGAACACGTACACCAAGCCCTCAAGATGAATGGATACTCGGACCGCATTATTCGCAAAGCTGTTTCTCCAACCATGGAGAAACAACCCCCTGAGAATCCAATCACAACCATAACTTTACCATACATAGCAGGTGTTACCAAAAAGATTTCCAAAAGCTTAAACAAACACAACATCCTGGTCCGATTCAATGGAGTAAACAAAATCCGTGATATAATCCCATCTGTGAAGGATGTAATTCCTGACATGCAATACCCTGGAGTCTACAAACTGAGTTGGACCTGTGGTAGGTGTTACATTGGGGAAACGAAACGACATGTCTCGGACCGTGTTCGCGAACACAAGGCAGATCTGAAACATGGCAGAACCAATACCTCTGCCGTAGCTGACCATTGCTATAACGCTGTGGGCTCGCGTGATATTGTTTTTCCGAGACCCAGGTACTCTGCAAACCTTCGGGCTACAATCAAAGGTTTGTTCATGAAGCCATCCAGATATATAAACAGACAAAACTTCAACCGAGAAGATGGATACAAATTGAACAATCATTGGAAGGATCTTATCTACCAGGTAATGTGTTGTTTCCATCATTACCTGCCGGTTTACTGCTAGCCCTGCCCATTTCCCCCCCCCCCCCAGCCTCACGTCCTCTTCCCCAAGCACTCACGTGGCCCTCCCCCTACCCCACACCCCCCCTCTCTCTCCCCCCTTGCATCCTCCCCCCTCTCTTACCAATATATAACTTCTTGCCACGGCAGCTATCCCGTCGACTTCAGCATTTTCTTGCTGTGGTTGTCCCACCTGGTGAAGATCGCTTGTGTTGCGATCGAAACGTCGTGATTTATTTCATTTTATTTTATTTCTACCTACGTGACTTTACCGAAAGAACCAAAGAGTATTCTACATGTAGCATACCCCAGCCCTCCTCAGAGCCTCCCTGGCGATTCGATAAGTTGTTGTAATTCATGGTAGCAATAAAAATGGAATTATCATTTGTTTAACCAAGTGGTGAATGTAGTGGATACCAGTGACTGCAGGCATAATGTTAACCCATGACATTTGTTTAAATTCGATGCATTCATCGTGATATTAACAACCGATATTTATTGTTAAACCCTCAATAAATATACACTACAGCTTTATGAAAATGTCCACCTCGAACCTGAGGAATGCCTTTATGTTGTAGAAAACATATGAATTTCTCTTCAAAGGAAAAGACAAAATGGCAAGTGAGATGTTAGATTTTAGATGCATCCAGGAAAGCCTCACCGAGTCACATGGCTCGTTTTCCGGACGTTTCTGCCAAGTTTTTGCAGAAGGGGGCACTGATTAAGATATTAAAAAAACTAGTTTAAACTAAATTTCGATTTAAAGCTTTCGTGACTGCAATGATTCATCTACTTGTTTTATTTGACCAGGTGAGGCCCACGAAGCTATGTAGTTCTTTTTCAGAAGCGACCTGGCCACGAATGATAGCTCAACGAAGTGGCTTATCACGTGTACATTTATCGCAGCCAAATACTCCAAACGCACATTGTGGAGAGAAAAACCAGAGGGCCCGGAGAAAAAGCCCATGGGACCACGGGGGGAGAGACACGAAAACTCCATACATCGAGGGGTCAGGGTCAGGATCGAACCCACGACCTCTTGCGTACCAGGCGAGGGAGTTAACATCTTGCCACCGCGGAGAGATTAACCAATTGACGTCCCGGGATCTATAACATCCACTGTGAAGCAGACTATTAATGAGGGCGGCCACTAGATTCGAACTGTGAACCTCTGCAAGAAGCAGCAAATGGACGGTGCGACTGCTGGGATACTTCACGACCCTAAAGAAGGTTATTGAACTCAAGCTTTCTTAGTTACAAAAACAAAAATCACAAACGTAGGTTGTCTCGCACATGCAAGACTAAAACAGCAATCCAGAATAACCTCTCTTTATCCTCTGTCCGCTTATCTGAAAATCTTGTTATTCTTGAGGCCGGGGTGTAAAAATGTACTTATTTTATCTATATTCCCACAGCGATTTGCTCAGACTGATAGATAAGAGACTTTGTAATGGCTGCGTAGCAAGTGAGGCATGACTCCTTGCATCTTAAAATTAGTTTAAGGGTCAATAATAGTAAAGTGCAGCCCACAAACAAAGAGAGATTCGTGTGTTGCAACATTTGTTTTAACCAGGTAAGACCACTTGCATAATAAAGCCTTATTCCACTGCCCCTGTTTTAAATCACCTGATGCAGTCAACACTACTAAATAAAAACAAACCGAAGATAGGTGTGTCCACGCAAAGACAGGGCCCTTGAGTTTTCCCTCTCGCATGCAATGTATAACTGTTGGTAGCCCTGCACATTGTGGCATCTGGCATGGGGCATAGCGACCTCGGGACTTTACCGTTCAGGCAATTTGGCTCGCTGAAATGTATTATTATTCTTTGAGTCTTTCGGTAAAGTCACGTAGATAAGTTCAAAGAAAATAACAAAACATAACAAAAAACTACGACGTTTCGATCGCAACACAAGCGTTCGTCATCAGGAAGAGATATATGTATTTTAATCGTATCATGGTTACAAACTCTTCTAATTCACAAATGTTGTTGTTACTACATCTGAGAATAGGTTTTCCTCTTTAGTTTACCGAAGCAGCATTTTGATTTTATTTATGATGCCCTATATTTATGTTTTATTAACTTTAAGGTTAGTCGCCTGTGGTGTGCGTTAAGACGCTCATTGTTAAAATTAAAGGCATGCCTACCATAACTATGTTTCGAAAAATAATTATGCAAATTTAGATCATCCATTCACCAACCTATTTTTTTTGGGTGAACAATCTCAAAATTATCCCTAATATTTCTAGGAGTATGGTTATACTGTTCAACCGTGTGAAAATACTACAGGGTTTCCCTGCATTTTACCCCGAAGCTAATGTCAAAACAGGAACACTTAATTGATGTTGGAAAATGGTATCACAAGCATCTCAAAATATAAGATTCCAAGGTCATGTATAGCAATTTAGGATTTTACCTTTTCGTTTTGTCCACCTTGTAATTTACTCCAAATATGAAGATGAACTTAAAACATGTTTTAATAAAGAACTACAAATACCACAGACAGGAACATTTTGTTTGGGTTTAGAAACAAAATTATAATGACCAACAATCATTCATCCACCTGCAATCAGCTTTATATAAAATAGTATGTAATGTAATGCCCTTCGTTAATCCACTGCTGGATCAAGGCTTCTCCATGCCATGTCAGTCGCGGGAGTTGTGTAACCAGACTTGAGAACACAAGGTCACTGTGGGTTGGGGACCAGTTCAGATATCACTCGCCACTGACATTAGCCATGTTTTGTAATCCAACTCAGGTAGCCGGGTTCATAGCGCAATGCAATCATCACTGCACCATAGCTTCAACCCCAGCTGTGTGTACATATTTATGTATATAGTGTAGCGGTTAGTGCATTGCACTGGTCACCCAGGTTCGATTCCCACTCATGGCCAATACCAGTGACGATTACCTGAACCAGTTATGGGCCTCCCCTAGGTCTACTCAGCCTAAAATTAGTACCTGGTGAAGTGTGTAAATATCGTCGCTGGGGAGGCAAAGACAGCTGGGCGTGGTGCTGACCACCCACTCCCTCATGTGCTCGCTAATGGCACTTCCCCCAACAGCCTGTTAAGGCTATTCGGGGGATCTGTGTATTTGTTTATATATGTACACATATGTTATACAAACTAAGCAATCCTGCACGTGTTCCTTAGCACACTAGTGTTACTGGGCTAGGAAACCCAGCTAATCAGAGATTTATAAAGGGTGTGTGTGTGCACGCGCGTGTTAGGATACCTGTGAAGCAATCAGTTTCTTGCTGTAGTAGTCGGCGGGCATAATAAACTCAATAAGTGCTACCAGACACCAGAACGCCTCCTCTTCCTCCAGGCACAGCAGCAGGATGGCAGTCAATCTGGAGAGAACACAAATCCCAGTTGGCAACGTCACCAATAAGGCCGCATTCCATCAAGTGTTGCATGAGCTGAGGATTTTCAATGTCACGAGGCAAGGAATGGAGCAGCTTTATATTTTTCCGTACAAACAGGTGAACAACAATAAATATAATCAAACACTATCAGATGGAGGGTTGTTGCCCCCATATTAATCTCCACTCCATAAAAGAATACAAGTTTTGAATGTGAAAAATACATAATTTAATCTTCTGAATGCATCGTGAGATTCTTAAATTGTATTTCTTTAACAGAAGCATCCCCTTTGGTATGTTTATAATTGTTTAAGTATTTTTTGTAGTAGAAGTCAATGATATCACACCCGAGATGAAAATACTCAAACCGTAGATATAGGTATGAACCCTGCTTGTTGTACCGACTCTGTCATTGCAGGCACAACGAGAACCGCAAATGGCAGCCAGCATCCTTTAGTTCCTCCCAGCACACGTTCAGGGTGACGTGAATAAGCCAATCAATTGGCCAAATGAGCAAGAAGGCAACGCACATCTCTTTTGAGAGGACCTGGACCAGAGTTTGTATTTGGGGGACCATGGTAATGCGTGGAGTACAAACCAGCTGATCGGCAATATCGGACGAGCTACCAAGACGACCGGGGGGCAAATTGACCGAAATATTTCACTCCGAAGAGGAGTGAAATATTTTTTTCTCCTGACTGTGAAGGAACGATCTATGACACTAAAACTTGGTATATGTGTGGCATAGTTTTTCTGAAGTATTCATGTGAGATTAAACGTTTGTTTCTCTTCCTTACAGGGAGTTGCACATTTCTGCATTTGCAGATAAATCAAATATTATAATCCATTCAGAAATGCATTCAGTTCCTGGCGATGATACCCCTCGCATGACAATGTGAAGAATTGATGCCGCATGTTTATAGAGAGATTTTTAAGTGATCAAGAGGGCATTACTGCAGTCAAATGTTGGTTTCCCGAAGCCAACAATGACTTCTGTTCCAACGGCATCTGAAAACTTATCCACCTCTAGAAAAAATGTGTGCCGTTTGGTCTGGAAAGTACAAAGAACAGGACTCGCATCTGCGTCGAGTTTTCAATGATGTATGACAATTCCTTGATGACCAAAACAACAATTAATCTGGCACAGTTCATATAAAGGTCTGCGCGTTGGTACTATGAAGGCAGGACAGTGGGGAAAAACATTGCTGTGCCCCGCACAGTGATGATGCATAACCTGAAACTCGAAGTGGAACCTGTATTTACAGGCCATACTTGTGTAGTGAGTCCAACTAAGTCCCAGACGTTGTTCTTTAGAGGCAACACCTTTATTTATAACATCAACACGTAACACAAAGGGGTAACTGCCCCTTCACCAGATACAGTCTAGGGTGGTGGCCACCCAGCTAACTACCCAAAACGGAGGAGTTACAGCTACGAAGGGTCTGACCCTCACTGGGGTCCCGACCACGTGTCGATGCCTGTAGAGCTTCCAGCTTGTAGGACGTAGAGCTTCAACTTGTAGAATTCAGCGACCCCGGTCCCTCTCAGGGACCCACCTTTTATCCCCCTGGGTCGGGGCTGCTCCGCCCTTGGCCCCGCCCGCCTTCTCGAGCGTTCCAGCTCTCTCTCGATCCCCCTCGACCAGAGTGCCATGGCCCGGGGCAACCCTGCCCCTGGGCTGACACTCTCCCACTCCCCCTCGTGGGAGCACGCACTCCGCGCTATCCCAGCGCTCACCAAGCCCCGCTAGGGCTGGTACTACACCCGCCCACGGGGTGTACGCGATGACGGTGCATCATGCGCCACGGTCCTCTCGGGCCGGCACCATACAGTGACATCCCCGATGTAACAACACGTACCTGCTTGTGGACTTTACCCAAGCGAGTACACAATAGGTACCAACCCATGCTTTCCCACCTGATGACGGACGCTTGTGTTGCGCCCGAAACGTCGTGATTTAATCGAGTCATTTTCATTGCATTATTTCCATTATTTTTATTTCTCATCTACGTTTACTTTACCGAAAGAACCAGAGAGTACCAACCCATTCATTCGGAGTCTCGACAGCTAGTTCACGTGATCGAGAAGGGCCCGCGCGCCGTAACCCTCACCTGTTGAGCCCTTGGCAGTAGCCGATGTGCGGATTGCGCCACGCGAACGCGAGCAGCACGTTGCGGAGCTCCACGACCTTAGGACTCAACGCCTCGAAGTGGCAATTGTTGGGCAGAGTGCGCGCCAGGTCGAGCTCGATGTGCCGAGCGTCGGGATTGGTGCGCTCGTTCTGCGCCTGGCTCACGAGCGCGTGGTAGTAGCCGGGCGGCTGATGGCGCCGCTCCTCGCTCACTCGCCGGCCCGCGCACCAGGCCCACACGCGGGGTCGCAGCGTGTGCGGCACGCCGCCGCGCACCAGCTGCTTTAGCTCCGGCGATACGCAAAGGTCGTGGCCCGACAGGAAGGTCTCCCATCTGCTTCACGCAATGCACAAATGCAGTTTCTGGAAGTGCTAACGATGACGATAGTAATAATAAATGGTATTGTACGCATGTATAACTTATTTCGCATCCTACGTAGCCAACCGTGATAATGTAATCGGAGGTGCGGGGGGAATGACAACATAAAGGAGCAGCACTGCAATTGCCTACCTCACTCCCACGTGAGAAAGCTCTGGATAGCCTCTACTCTGCCACGCAGACCAGGTGTCTTGGAAAAGGTGGGAGTGCCCACACTTTACCCCACCACACGTGACTTGTCGATTGACTAACTGTGGCATACCCATTTATACTACCAGGTGGACAGAGGCAGAGGGAACAATAAACTAATGTTCATCCGCTATAATCAAAATGAGACCTAAGTAAATTTTAAGTTGGTTGTTGCCAAGAAGATTCCAGTACAGCCACTGATTCTTGACTATTTTCACTGGCTGCACTTCTGAGGGGAAATTTGACCATTTTTTCTAGTAGTTTAAAGCATCAACTAGACTACGTTTCAATAATAATAAAATTATATTTATTTGGTTCCTGGGAAGAACTGAGGTCATAAATTGGCTGTACTTGAGAACCTAGTTTCTTGATGACAGGTGGTTGTTTGCATTAAAAAAATGGACCTCAATAAAATATGATGAAAGTGTTTGGGGTTGGAGCTACTTGATAATCTCTATAGTTTTCAGTGAGGCGAAGAGTTTCATATAAAATGCAATTATCGCTCATTGATATAATAAGCAAACTATGCAATGGGAAATTTGTGGCAGCCAGAGGAAACAATATTGGTACAAATCTTGATTTGAAGCTTTCGTGACTGCAGGAATCCATACTCTTTGGTTCTTTCGGTAAACTCACGTAGGTAGAAAAATAATAGATCACGACGTTTCGATCGCAACACAAGCAATCGTCATCAGGTGGGACAACCACAGCAATAACAAACTGCTGAAGTAGGCGAGAGATCTGCCGTGGCACGAGGTTATATAGTAGGCCTCGGTAGTGGGGGGGGGGGGGCGTGGCACGAGGTTATATAGTAGGCCTCGGCAGTGGGGGGAGAGGAGGTGGGGGGAGAGAGGGGGCGTGGCACGAGGTTATATAGTAGGCCTCGGCAGGGGGGGGGAGAGGAGGTGGGGGGAGAGAAGGGGGCGTGGCACGAGGTTATAGAGTAGGCCTCGGCAGTGGGGGGAGAGGAGGTGGGGGGAGAGAGGGGGCGTGGCACGAGGTTATATAGTAGGCCTCGGCAGTGGGGGGGAGAGGAGGTGGGGGGAGAGAGGGGGCGTGGCACGAGGTTATATAGTAGGCCTCGGTAGTGGGGGGGGGGGGGCGTGGCACGAGGTTATATAGTAGGCCTCGGCAGTGGGGGGAGAGGAGGTGGGGGGAGAGAGGGGGCGTGGCACGAGGGTATATAGTAGGCCTCGGCAGTGGGGGGGAGAGGAGGTGGGGGGAGAGAAGGGGGCGTGGCACGAGGTTATATAGTAGGCCTCGGCAGTGGGGGGAGAGGAGGTGGGGGGAGAGAGGGGGCGTGGCACGAGGTTATATAGTAGGCCTCGGCAGTGGGGGGGAGAGGAGGTGGGGGGAGAGAGGGGGCGTGGCACGAGGTTATATAGTAGGCCTCGGCAGTGGGGGGGGGAGAAGAGAGGGGGCGTGGCACGAGGTTATATAGTAGGCCTCGGCAGTAGGGGGGGGGAGAGAAGGGGGGGGGGGACAGAGGGGGCGTGGCACGAGGTTATATAGTAGGCCTCGGTAGTGGGGGGGAGAGAGAAGGGTGGGGAAGGAGGTGGGGCAGAAAGTGGACCCCGCAGTAGACCCCGGGTCATTGGAGTAAAGTCCACCAGTGACCCGGGTGCTACTTTCTGCCCTTGCCTCCTTCCCCCCCCCCCCCTTTAGCTCCCCCCCCCCCCACTGCTGAGGCCTACTATATAACATCGTGCCACGCCCCCTCTCTCCCCCCTACTGCCGAGGCCTACTATATAACCTCGTGCCACGCCTCCTCCTCTCCCCCCCACCTCCTCTCCCCCCCCACTGCCGAGGCCTACTATATAACCTCGTGCCACGCCCCCTCTCTCCCCCCACCTCCTCTCCCCCCCACTGCCGAGGCCTACTATATAACCTCGTGCCACGGCAGATCTCTCGCCTACTTCAGCAGTGTTTTTCTTGCTGTCGTCCCATCTGATGACGATTGCTTGTGTTACGATCGAAACGTCGTGATCTATAATTTTTCTACCTACGTGACTTTACCGAAATAACCAAAGAGTAATGGTAAAAATGTCAGTGTTAAGGCAACAAATAATTGGAAAATGTTAATTTAAAATAAATTCAGTAACTGTAATATGATACTATCACACTCTGATCTATCCCTAAAAATGAATGTACATCGTGTCATCACTAACACAACATAATAGTAATATTCTGAATAAATTCCCAGGTGGCTGTGCTACTTCAGCCTAATGAGTTTATGAGAATTAGCTCTGTGGTCAGCCCTGACCAAATAAAGCATCTGGCAATAAATTATTGTGAAAATGTTGTAAAGAAATAAACTCACAATCAAAGAACACAAGAGTGGTAGGACTGCATGCTACATATAGTACATTAAAATGCTGCTAATCGTTTTATTTTAATAAGTTACTACACGGTTGGAAATTATTTAAATACCCAAATGATGAGTTAGACAAACAAGCAGAAATGAGGTGCTTTACCATTTTAATGGTGACTAATAACAACATTGTTTAAGTTTCAATCCTCTACAGAGGTGCAGAGGTCGTGAAAAATAGTGAGGTTTTCCCCATTAAGTGTATTTCACCCTAGGGGTGAACGAACAATAAAATCCAAGCATGCAAATATTGTTATGCGGCCCATTTCAAAAGGTCACTTCCTCAATGATCAGACCACATGCAAAACAGCCAATTGAATACAAATATGGTTTGCTACTTTACTCAAACGAAACTATTTTTGCTTTACCAGAAGCGACCTGGCCACAAATGATAGCTAAAATGAAGTGGCTTATCACGTGGAAATGTATAGTAGCCAAATACTCTTAAACGCATGTTGATTCTAAATGTGGAGGGAAAACCCGGAGAACCCGGGATAAAAATCCGTGCGACGATGGGGAGATAACATGCAAACTCCAAATATACAGGCGTTAAGGGTTGGGATCGAACCCACAACCTCCTGCATATCTGACGAGGTAGTTAACATTTCACCACCGCGACGCCCTATTAACCAATAGGGGTGCCCTCCCACCTGTCCAGGACGACTCGGTTGGTTGCTGTGCTGCTGACAACTTCAGCAGACATCTCCTGCAGTAGCTGCGCTCGTTCCAGGATGGTCATTGGATCATTGCCTTCCTGTTCCAGCTTAAATCCATATATGTCGACATTCCTGGTTGGAAAACATAAATAAAACGTGTGCTATCACGCCTCTAGCCCACATGTTTTGTTGTTGCAAAATGTCAGTGATGTGGAATATGCTCATGTACTCGTCCTGCTCTCCTTAAGAGGACAGCTTTCAAGGACAGCTTTCAAGGACAGCTTTCAAGATGGCGCAGTGGGAACAGTGGTAACACTTGTGTCTCACAACAAAGAAGTGGCCTGCATTCGATTCCCGACATGGCCCCCTTTCTGTGTGGAGTTTGTATGTTTCCCCCCTGTTCTACAGGAGTTTCCTCCAGGTCCTGCGGTTTCCTCCCATAGCTAAAGAAACGTACAATGTAACTAGAATCGTTTCAACATTATTTGGGTGACAAATTACTTGCAATTTTTTCAAATGGGTTTACACATAGCAAAAACACCCCTGCCTCATTACACTGCAGGACCCTCCTGAAAAAGTCTTGAGACTAGGTAAGGCTTTCCTCTAAAAATAAAGGACATCGTTATTATTCGCACCCTGTCGATTAATGTATCTCGCTTCTAGCTGCTACAGGGGTCAAATGTAAGTATGATGAAATTATTTCACACCATATGTAGCCAACCGCACTAATTGGAAATGCGGGATGAGGACACCAAACCATACACAAATGAATCCCTTACATACAAATACACAACTTGAAAAACATTTAAAAGCACGTAATTTAATGTACGTATCATAAGCTTAAGAATTGATATTAAATGAGGAATCAATGTAACATTCCTTCCCCCCTATTTTAAAGATCAGGACAAGGAGATAAATAGACTACAAAACTGATTTTTGCAACAACAAAAAAGGCTTCAGAGATAGGCTGATACACAATGAATATTGGGGGAGGTGAAAATGTGAATTAATCCACTAGCATGTGAACAATCTAATTTAGGGATAGGTTCATGTGTGTAGAAAGAAAGTTTTCATAATTAACTAATAACATAGTGTCTGTAGACAAGTGCCCTATGGGACTCGTATGGAAAAAAAAACACAAACTAGATTTGGCGCTTTCGTGACTGCAGGAATTACTCTTTGGTTCTTTCGGTAAAGTCACCACGTAGAAAGAGAAAAGAAGGCATTTATTTATTTATATTTCCTCTCAAAACATGAATTCGGTCGTGAATGCTTTGCACAATTTAAATTACAAAAAATGTTTTTCATATATATACTGGTTCTAAAGTTTGTAATAATTTATTGGCCGCAAATGATACTTGTCCACTCGTGATGAAGTGGCAAATATCAAATTTCCATCCGTATGGAACCTGTCGAGATGTTATATACTCATAGAGTACATAATCGTACATTATAGACTACCATGGGAAATTATGGAGAGTAATTATGAGCATGGGCTATTGTTGGTACCAGTGCTGCCTGCCTTCTGGTTAGTCTCTGGTTTCCTGCACCTCACTTTTAAACCTTCGTACATTTCAAATTGTACAGCGTTGCGAGATGCAACGAGATGCAATTTGCACATATAATGCGGTATAAAATATCACAATACATTACACAATGAATGGGTGAAGCGACTTTATTTGACAACTCAATTTGTCAACCAACTGAGCCTGAAGGTTTAATGTGAATTGTGCATTTGAAAAAAAGATATTTTGTAAAAAGTTAAGCGTAGCTCACTTTTTAATAGACGGAGACATAGGTTCATCTTGGATCTTCAACCTGGCATTCAAGACGTCTGCCTTGAGCATTGCCAAAAACTGTTCATCACCGACGCCACCTGAATTGCTTGGCGACTGCAGCAGATGCAACAGCACCAGCAGCTTGCTCTCCAGTTGCGCATAGAGGCCATTCAGCCCCATGTACTAAACGTGTGAAATATGACAAAGAAAATCACAGAGGTGAATTGGACTGAGGCTGAGAAGTTCTCAGATTGGAAGGTATTCGGGTGTTCAGAAACAAGAACCAGGTTCCTAAAAATCCAATCAGAGAAAAATCTCCCATGCAAATGAATAAACAGGATGAGGTGCCATAAATGTTTTCAAGGTATAGATTTTCATATTATTCAAAACTGCTGGTCAGTGGCTGTGCAATGACAAATGCAAACATGTTTTGGGGTCAAACATTTTACAAATGCTAATATCCAAATCAGCTTTTTCATGCTTCCTTTTATGATTCACTTTTTACTTATTACACCTTGCAACTATTTTACAAAATGCATGTCAGGTTTGGAAACGACCATATTTTTCATTCAAATATATCCAGTCATACATTAAACAATACATTTCATACAAAAAAATATATGATAGCTATTAATGGAAGTCTGACTAACGTCTCACCTTTTCTTGCATCAATATGAATTGGTTCGTGGTTGACATCCGCAGTTTCTCCTGTGCTGCGACTTCTTCCACCAAAAATTTTATTATTGACTTGCAAGTCTCAATCTCTCCCTAAACATAAACGGTTATAAAAAAAAACGGAAGAAATCATACAATTGTGTAAAAAAAAAATCTCCCGTTTCAATAAAATACATCGTAGAGATATATATGTATTTGTGGCAACCCTTAACAAACTAATTACAAACGCAAAAGATGTTTGGCAATGTGAGAAACAGGAAACGGTGTCATATACTATATTATTAAAAAAAAGTTTTGCTGGCTGGCTTTGAGCCAGGGTGCATTCATCACGCTGACATCACAGCTCCTACCCCTCATCCTGGTTGCGTTTCCCGCGCAAATGCGCAGGCTAGTTCACTACAAAATAAAACCACGTAATGAAAATTCTATTAAAATAAAACTAATTTTAGGGGCTTCATCGGAGTAAAATACAATGATTCGAGGGAAACTATGGCGATAATAACCTTAAGCCTTTCAATATTTCGGCGCGCTTCCCCCGAAGCAGCGTCGACTATGGTGATGGTAGTCGTGGTGGAGGTGGAAGAGGGGGGGGGGCTCGACTCTGAGGCAGTCTTCTGGGATCCCTCCATCTCGGTCAAACGGCTGGACAGGTTGAGGATCACTTCATTCTTGGCCCGCACCATCTCTGTGAAGGCCCCCATCTGTTCGTTGAAGCTCGACACCTTCTTTTGCAGCGATGATACATTCATTTCCAGTTTCTCATTCTGTTGCTGGGATATCTGAAATCCACGTCATCATAAAAAGATGTTAAATTACCATGATATATATTTTTTGCAACCTTGGCCGTGATCAACATATTCTCCGACCTTGATTGATTTAGCAGGTTTGCATTGGCTTGGGGTCTCTAAACAGCAGGCTGTTTCACCTTTCTGAGCAGTACTGTAATCCAACACAATGAGTCAAAGTGTTTTACTCAAAGTGTGTCTGTGCTGATAATTTTTGGTGGTCCTGAGCCAGAGATAGACATTCCACCTCCCTTCTAGATTTGAAGTTTTCGTGACTGCAAGGATCCATACTCTTTGGTTCTTTCGGTAGTAAAAAATTCCTTGCTGTGGTTGTCACACCTGATGTTGATTGCTTGTGTTGCAATCGAAACGTCGTGATTTATTTCTATTTTCCTTTATTTTTTCACCAACGTGACTTTACCGAAAGAACCAAAGAGTATTTCACATCCCCATTGCAGTAATCATTCTCTGGTGAACTGACTCAACCCCTTACCAGGAATTTTAAGTTGGAGGCTTGGAATTGTGAAGAGTGCTCGAACCATAATAGCACCACTCAGCCAAACATGCACTACCAATATATAATATGCATTAATGCAGTTTTTTTTTAGGTTTTACACACTGCTACTGTTTGATTGCTCAGCCTAGAGGCACTGAAGAAGTGCATTACACTAGTCAAAATGCAGTGCAGGAGACATGGCCACACTCAGGAGCCATGAGGCTCCTCCTCATATCAGCAGTGACATGGTAGACATGGCATATTTGACTGTAAATGCAGAAATCACCTTCATAAGTGTTCTACCCATGGGAATGTTGATGGCTGAAGATCCCTCCATCCCATCTGAACACCATTCCACCCCCTCTGCACAGCTCATAACATAGCTTACATATTGAGGATCGTAGAGCCATAACAAGAAAGGGGAATTGAGGTGGTTCCCTCTTGCCTTCCTTGGTATATTTTAGATAACACCATCACTGGATGCAGTTTCACGTCATGCCCAGAACAAATGCATAAGGAATCACAACTACAGCAGTGAATGAAGGCATACCAGTGTGAGTGTATAGATCCTGCTGTTTAGATCAACTATGTACCCTTTTCAGCTTTGTGGACCCCTTACAACCCCTGTATGATTTTCAGACCTGCTATTATCATAATAAATATATGCTTTATATCCATCTGTGACTAAATCACCTGGAATGTGCCCAAATGCTCGAGATATTTAAGCTGAACAATCGGGCCTGCATGGTGCTTGGATCGCCGACGACATACATAAATAGGTTGCCACAGGGCTGTAAGGGCTAGATAGTCGGCAGCAGATGGTAGTGCAGCAAAATCTATTGTTGTACACTACGTCTATGCTCCCGTGTCTATGCGCCGCAACATCACCAACCCGCACCGACCAGCGTGATGATGTATGGTCAAATAACTCCCACGATCCACACAGCATGTTGATTACCTAAACTCTACCATGTACCATAGGCAAAAACCCCTTATATACATGACATCGTGACATATATTTATATATAAAGGTTTAACCTTCATTGTGCTGATGTGAAAATCAGCTTGAAAAGAAAATCACACGGTGGTTCACTGCTGAATGTAAAAACAAGAGTGTTTTTTGCAGGATATCTCTATGGTGGGCATGCAGAGGAGAGAAGCCATACATGCTGACAAAAGTAAAAACAGTGCCTCAAAGATAGTGGCATGGGCGTATATACTGTACATGCATGCACACACACCTTCATTGTTAATAAAAGCAAGCAGACTTATTTCAACAGGACAAACTGGTGGAAGCGATTAAAAGCAATTTACCGAACTAGGTATTGATGGCAGCCAAGCAATATATCATGCTTAAGCTGTTAAATAATCACACATGCAGGAATGAAACAGATTCCAGCCACAAAGACCTGAAATAAATTTTCACAAACATAGAAAGCCTTCATCCAACAGTGGATAGGGATTGCCTGTTGATTTCAAAAGCAGATCATAAACCAATTTAAAGGATAAAGCAAGCATAATGGTAGAGGCTGGAGATGACCCTTTATTTTCAGACTGCAAAACAGCAGCAGCTTGCCTGAAGCCGATTGCTGAGATCTGTAATCTGCCGTTCACGATGCCGGAGTATCTCCAGCCTCTCAATCTCGGTCGAGGCCACCTGGAAGGCGAGGGATGCCCGCTTCTCCTGCTGGGCTTGTTGGAGAGTGTGATGAAGGAGCCGCACTAGCTCCTGTGCAGCACAATCCAATGTTAAGATTCTGCCTGACAAGAGTAGCTCAACATTGGGATGAATTCACTTCTGCTCGGCGGATGGTCTGTCGTGCCAAAAACTCAAGCTCGGTTAGTCCGAGCCATTGAAGTGGCCGTTATATTTTTCAATCAACAATGGTGCATGTATGCATATTGAACTTCTTTTCCACTGTGCAGAGCAAACCATGTGAATCAGAGGTACATATATTGTCCACTGAGCAATCCCACAATACTACTTATAAAAGTAGGCCGAATTTTGAGCTTAAGTAAAAGTTAACCCTCTATAGAAATTAACCCTCTATGTTTTTTAATTGCATTTGCTCAGCACAGCCCTGAAGGCCTTTAATGTAAACTGGCCACCAACTAGGCAACTAGATTATTTTGAAATGACTAAAATTGTACGAGCAATTTCGTTGCAAAGTTTGTGAACTTGATGAGAAGCTATGAATACTTTATTTCATTCACTGTGAAGTTATTTTCAGTGTCATATGGACAGTGGAATAGACACGGACGTGGGGAGGAAGGGACCGTGGGACTGCCAGTCACAGCAGTTATTAGTTAGTCTATGTGTGGGTGTGAGTCAATGTCTGTGTGTGGGTAAGTCGATGTGTGTGTGTCTTTTTCGCCCGGGCAACGCCGGGTACTTCCCACTAGTCAGACTATAAAACACTGCCAGAGCGACAATAACCCAAGTGAGTATCTCACCTGCTGAGCTTTGAGTTCCTGTTCTTGGAACACCACTCGCATCTGCAGATCTGAGATAGTGCTGTGTGTATCTGAATCTTTTCCGAGGCGGAGTTTGGTAAAGGCTGGCCTCAGCCCTTCTGGAACAGACACCTGTATATCTTGTGGGCGATGTGTAGCCAAAGGCACTGGAGACACCACCTTTTTGATTGTTGTCCAACGGGAAGGGTTCTTGTTTCCCACTGCTGGGCCACAGATAGAAGGAAGGGACATTAAATTAATAACAAGTGAAACGTGTGGATAACTTGTCTCAGAATGGCATGTTTATTTATTTATCTAAGACCTGAGAACAAGTAGAAATAGGTTTTTACCCTTTTAGCTGGCACAAAAACTGACACCTTTATACAAGGGATCATGTTTGCAAACCACAACACAAGCAGTCAAAAATGCAAACAAAAAGAGACAACTCTGATAATGATATGCACTGTCCTTGAATTTGATTGGTCCACACCCGAGATGGCTTTTTTAGAGCCTAGTCTCCACTGGTGTTGGACCAGATGACGCCAAAAGGCGTATCATTATCAGAGTTGTCTCCTTTTGTTCGCATTTTTGACTGCTTGTGTTGTGGTTATTGCAAACATGATCCCTTGTATAAAGCTGTCAGTTTTTGTGCCAGCTAAAAGGGTAAAAACCTATTACTATATCTTGTTACTGGCAAAAGAGGTCTCACCTGAGAACAATTTTGCATCCTCTGACACTTGTTCGCAGCTCCTCATGAAAGCCACATTTGTGATAAATAGCAGTCATCAAAATGTGACAACAAGATTCAATTCCCATCAATAATTTTATAATGAAAATGTCTCCGTGGGTGTGGAGAGCAGGCTAAGCCCATAGTGTTCTTGGTTCTTTCGGTAAAGTCACGTAGAAGGGAAACAATAAAATAATAAAAATATAAAACAATAAAATTCTCACGACGTTTTGACTGCAACACAAGCAATCATCATCAGGTGTGAAAACCACAGCAAGAAAATTTGAAAAAAGTGGTGGTTATTTTAAAAAAATTCTTGCTGTGGTTTTCACACCTCATGGTGATTGCTTGTGTTGCAGTCAAAACGTCGTGAGAATTTTATTGTTTTATATTTTTTTTATTTTATCGTTTCCCTTCTACGTGACTTTACCGAAAGAACCAAGAATATGAATCCCTGCAGTTACGAAAGCTTTAAATCAAAATTTAAGTTCATAGTGTTATTCGTTTCAAGATGAAGCCTGCCACTAGCAATAACACATGTGCTTAAATATGTTCACAAAACAACTGTACAACTGTTTTAATATGCCGTTTCAATTTGTAATGTACGGTGATGCTAATGTACATCATAATGAAGTGATTTGTTTTGAGATCGTGTAGGTATAATGTGATTTAAAAAAAATAACCATGCACCACCTTACAGAGCCAATCAAATAAAATTGACACGTGAGCAAATGTCAATTCATTTGGTTATTAATAAAACCGAAACGTTGAAAAGCAAGCAAAATTTTTACAATGTTCACAACTATTTTTTTAGATTTTAACAAATTGGCATTATACGTAAATGATCGACCACAATGGAAAGTACGATAATTACAAATCATAATATTGGTCGTGAAAGCCTATGCATAAAAACGAGGTTGTTTTATAGTTAATATTTGTGTTTACATGATTACATCTCGTAACACGTTTACAGAAAGGTTCCACACAGCCGACAATAATAATGCACTTCAAAAAAATGCCTCAGTGAGTGTGGAGACTTTTTTTGACAACAGTCCTGTAGCGGAGTGTTTGGCACGCGGGAGGTACTGGAGAAAGCTCCCTCTAAGCTCTACACAAATAGATCCAAAAATCCGTTTCCCTACAACAATTTCCTGGCCACCTCTCACAGCCCAAATCAAGCTAATGCCAAAAACTGTATCTTGAGATGAATATATATGCAAGGTAAAATCCCCCAAAATTGTTAGCAAATACTTAAATGCAATGACGCAGTTTCACGAGGCTCTACAGTCAGTACTCATACTCCTTGGTTCTTTCGGTAAATTCACGTAGTTAGAAATAAATTAAAATAAAACAAACCACGACGTTTCGATTGCAACACAAGCAAATCATCAGGTGGGAAAACCACAGCAAATAATTATTTTTTCTACATTCTCTAAAATGCATGATTATAGTAATCAGCACTTCAGTTTCCTTGTCTCACGACTTCTCACACCCTTATTTTTACTTTGGCAATGTGTGCCTGCTTTAAATAAAATAGAAATGAAACACGAACCATATGCATTTTAGAAGGCCAGCAGCAACACGTTAAATGTTTTCTCATTGTGTACTACAAACACATTTTATAGAGTTACATATAAGCATAAATAAGACAATTATAATTTATGCAAACCACAGTAGAGAAATAAAAAATATATATACATGCGAGCCTTTTGCCAATAGTATGTATGTAGAACTTCTTTCACAACTTACATAGGCAACCGTGCTAATCGCGGAGGTGCGGGAGATAGGACAAGAAACTTAACACAAAAAAACTGTTCTTAAAAAATAGTTTTCAATCTAGATTAAAAGTGCACAGTTCTGGTGGCTTTTCAGACGGCCGCATAAACGCATCTTAAGGCCAAAAGCTGTTGCGAGGATGAGACAGGATGGCTCTTGAAATTTACCTGGGGCTTTGTTGTCTGTTCGCTTGTCAGCTACATCTAGAGCTGCATATCCTACGTCACTCTCTGACGTTGTTTTTGTAACATTGGAATTCCTAATAGAAAAAAAAGTGTAAAAACATGATTAAAGTATGCATTATTAAATAAAGAACCCCACACTTTTAGAACACAGCACGTTTATACATTCAAAGTCCGATGACTCATTCTACTCCAACACAAGCTTACAGTCATATAATTATACATCAATCACTATGCATGTATGTAGAACTTTTTTCGCACCATACGTAACCAACCACACTGTAAACACACCAACAGAAACGTCTATTTAACTTTAAAGTTATTTTAATGAGTATGAGTCCTTAAAATCAAGCACAATAAAAGAGTCGAAGTTAAATATGCAACCCTGCAACTAATCGCTCATGTCACTGCTGGCAGAATGGCCTCGAAAGTCCATTTCGAGCGGCCCTCTAAAGGGTATTTGGCCTACTCTTCTATGCAGGTAAGACATCTTGGAAGAGGTTGGAGTACGGTTGTAGTACTCGCGTACATATGTACGTACGCTAACTCACGTACGTATGCTGGACGGATGCTTTATTCTACCACGTAAAATCTGGCAATCGACTGAACCCAGAATCGGAATGTTTATTTATCCTTGAGGAATCCGATGAGCTGTGACTAAACTTACGTGACGTCCACAACAGGTTCTTCCTGATTTTCATTTGCAGCTGGAAGGAAAATATCAGGTATAGAGACCGTCTGTTCATCATCTGAGCACTGACGCATTCTGTGAATCTCAGGTCGAACTGAAATGAGAAGAAACATAAAGTTGACAGAATTTCTTAGAATTAAAATCATTATTAATCCTGCAGAAATCCGATGAGTTATGAAGCTCTTTTTCACAGATGTCTAGTAAGGGTGGGGTCAGAAAGGTACAACAACAATGGTCTCCATGACAAGAGAAACAAGCTAAAATGATCTCTAATCTTATCAAAAAAAGGCAGGGCTTTTTTGTATCCATTAAAATGGGCCAAACTTTCAAACAGAGCTGTATTAGGATTTTAATACAACCGAGTATCTATTATAAAGATTAACATTCCTTAAGGGATTATTGCCCAAAAACTAACATCACAGGCAATTGTGTATTAAACATTTTGGTTTCACCTGCATTGTTATATGAAATACAGGGCCAAAAGTGAAATCTATGACACAACATGCATATATACTATTCATTTATTGTTGTAAAACAAATTAACAAAAAATACTTTACCGAGAGATTCAGCATTGTCCGCTGGCAATGCGGTAATTGTTTCAGCAGTTTCTGGCTCCTCTGATGGCTCTTCAATGAAAGGTTGAGAGTCCAAAGTTGTCACAGAATCAGACGCTGGCCCTTGAAGCGATTTGCTCGCTATATCACTAGGAATCTCATCTCGTTTCTCTTTTAACCAATTTAGCCAAGACATCATCTCTTTGCTGCTTGTTGCCTGCCAAAGAAAGTACACACGTAACATGTTTATAGTGTGGTCAAGTTCCATCATGTGTTTTTTTTAAAGTCCAGAGTTTGAGCATCATTGTAACTTTCAAGCATAGTATGGGCGGGCTTGTTTCGCTCTTCTCCATAGCGACGTGCCCTACGCTAAATGTGTTTTCTGGGTAAACACGTTTGTAGTTGGACATTTTAATACAGTTTATTTTTCGTTTCGGTTCAGACCTGCCATTGCGTGTTTTCATTTTATCTTTACAGTGTCTTGATAGAGCCTACTTGGAGGACTTTGAAACTTGGCTTCAATAATAAAGGGGATTTTTTTTCATTTTTCCTGCAAGTTCAATGATGAAACATTTTATTCTACTGTACTATATAAGTAAATAACTCCAAATTGATTTGTTCCCGAACGACTAAACTCATGCTGTTAAAAAAACACGTGTAAATTCATTTCAGTAATAAGACAAACAGCACTGGACGCTTCTCTGTATCTTCTGTCAAATTAGTGTTGTTCAATGCTGACCTACAATGAACAGTTCCATCAATATGTCATATTCCAGTCAAACTCCATTTATTTGCAACCCGAGTAACCCTGGTACTAAGCCTGCAAACACCCGGTTCTCTCTTCCAAACATATCCAGTTAGGACCACGGATGAACAGAGTTATTCGGAAAATTATTCCACTTATCTGGGGCTATCTGTGGTCATGCATCCCCTCCCACACTCTTCACCCTTAACCCCGGATAAACGGAGTTTGTACTCCCTTAGGAAAAATGATCAACTTGGACAAGATGAGAAATTATAAAAGATTACAAAACTTTTGCAATTAAACTACAGTTACGCATTCATTTCTAATTATCATTAAAAAAACACAATTACCCGTTATTAAAAATGAAGTGTTACAATACCTCAGACACAAACTCTCATTATATCACGGAAAGTACAAGTCTAGTATCCGATACTGATTATTACCTGTTCTGCTTTTCTGACATTGATTAGAGGTTTCACATAACGTAACTTAAAATAAAAAAGAGTTGTTTACACAGTATCATATGTAATCTATACTTAGAAATTGTTATTTTCCTGTATTGGCCTGTAGTGAATTTGCATTTCTGCTTATCAGTACCCACTAACTTCCCAATGTATATATCCCAAATGTACATGAACTGCTTACAAGTTACTATCACTTGATATACAGTTGGTAGCTTTGTTGCAGTTTTCACTGACAACTGAAACGACGATGACCTGTCAACCCCTCACTGATAACCGATACAAAATACCAATTTATGAGCCCCCATCTTAATGAGTTCAGCTTGTAATGGACTGCTGCAAAGTAGATGCATCCATGTGGAGAGACATGGATGTACCTTTATTCAAAAGGGGATGGGAAGAGACGATTAAAACACCTTTGATGAAAACGATTACAAGTAAAACAGCATCAGAGATAATGCCCCCGGTCATTGGAAAGATATCAGCGATCATTTCCTGGAGACGCGTTTTTGTTACTGCCAGGGCATATACACAACGTAACGGACTTGCTGAAACTATAACATAAAGTGACCTTGGAAAATGACATTGCATTTCGAGTAAACTTCACAGGTAACGTAGTAAACGGCAAATACATGGGTACATGGGTAACTGATAAACATGTTGGCCTGTCATAATATCTACATATTTCACGCACCTCTGATTATCATGGTTGGCTATGTACAGTGCGAAAGAAGTCCAACATAATACAATAATGATATACTTTAGTGCCATTACCCATGAATGTCTCGCTAAGTGTGAGGACAAATTTTCTGCATTTGCCATTGGCCCAGAGAAGAGCAACGCATCGGGGGATAACACCCAAAACTCCGCACAGGCAGATTCAGTGTGACTCTTATTAAAAATTATTTGGTTAAACTGTACAGTGGTTTATTGCATTGAATATATTTTTAACAAATCAATAAATTAACATTTGCTTATACAAATATATATTTTTTATTGGTGATAATTCACTGTGTAACAAAAAAATTGCTCTTGGGTAGTAAAGTGTTATTTTGTAATTGCTTGAGCCTAAAAAGTTCAGAAAATGGCTATTATTCCATTTTCTATACTTTTGGAGGCATAAGCAATTAGAAAATAACACTCACATAACACTTACAACCCAGGAATAAAAATCGTGTTACTAGTGGTAATGCGTTGTGCTATGGCTTCTATTGGTGCTTCTATCATGAAGTGCTATGAAGGGCCATAGCTCGAAACGTCATCGATTATACATTTCTTATTTTAAAGGCAGTGCTGTTGACGTGTATGTTGAGTGCGTATATGATATTACCAGTACTGTATTTATTTGATGACACAAACAATAATTTATCACTACAGCCACCAGTTCTTAAACTTGCCCGCCACTGTATTCACCAGGCATTAATTAGCAGCGGATAATGGAAATGCGTGGAGACGGGTAGCACCTCATATTGAACTTCTATGTATGTATGTTAACTTCTTTCACCCCGTCCGAAGCCAACCCAGCATAGTAGGGATGCGCTGGGCGAGTACAACAAACTAACACACAAAAAGCAGTTCTAAAGAAATTCGTTTTCAATCCAGATTTAAAAGTGCGTAAGCTCCAATCGCTTCCAAACATCAGAAGAGCGTTCCAGACGGCCAAAGATGGGACATCCGCACCACGCGGAGCCGACCGTGCTAATCGGATGCGCTGGGCGACTCCAACAAACTAACACACACAAAACACTTCTAAAGAAATTCATTTTCAATCCAGATTTAAAAGTGCGTAAGCTCCAATCGCTTCCAAACATCGGAAGAGCGTTCCAGACGGCAGTGGAATGGGACATCCGCACCACCACCACCGTACGTAGCCAACCGTGCTAATCTAATGTGCTGGGCGAGTACAACAAACACACACACAACACACACACACACAAACCACTACCCCCCACAAAGAATCTCACCTTCAGGGTGTACTCCCTCCAGGGAGTCCGCACGCTGAATGTCTTCTCGTCCTGCACCGCCGGGATGAGAGAGACTCCGGCCAGGGGGATGGCTCCGAGGGGCTCCCCCCCGGGTCCGCGCGAGTAAACCAGCTCGCCAGTCGCCTCCTCGTACGAGAACCAACGTAGCTGGAAGCCTCGGAGCCTGCCCTTGCCCAGCTTGTAGAGGTAGCCCGTGGGTTGACGAGGCTGGCAGTCCTCACGGCTCGGTGGAAGCGGCTGCTGTTGTTGTTGTCCTGCGTTTGTGTCCATGCGTGCGGGTCAGCCGGGTCAGTCGTTGTGAACGCACGTGGCGAGGGGAGGGCGATTCAATAGACGCAGGTCACACGGACGCTGACAGCCTTGTGTGTGTCTTTGTATGTTGTGTGTCTTTGTATGTGTGTGTGCCTTTGTATGTGTGTGTGTGTCTTTGTATGTGTGTTGTGTGTCTTTGTATGTGTGTGTGTCTTTGTATGTGTGTGTCTTGGTGTGTGTGTGTGTGTCTTGGTATGTGTGTGTGTCTTGGTATGTGTGTGTGTCTTTGTATGTGTGTGTGTCTTTGTATGTGTGTGTGTCTTTATATGTGTGTGTGTCTTTGTATGTGTCTTTGTATGTGTGTGTCTTTGTATGTTTGTGTCTTTGTATGTTGTGTGTGTCTTTGTATGTGTGTGTGTATCTTTGTATGTGTGTGTCTCTTTGTATGTGTGTGTCTTTGTACGTGTGTGTTTGTATGTGTGTGTTTGTATGTGTGTGTTTGTATGTGTGTGTGTCTTTGTATGTTGTGTGTGTGTCTTTGTATGTTGTGTGTGTCTTTGTATGTTGTGTGTGTCTCTTTGTATGTGTGTGTGTCTCTTTGTACGTGTGTGTCTTTGTATGTGTGTGTTTGTATGTGTGTGTTTGTATGTGTGTCTTTGTATGTGTGTGTGTCTTTGTATGTGTGTGTGTGTGTCTGACGTACCGTGCGCGCTTCGTGTATACAAAGTGTTGGATTTGCAAGGTTACACGGACACACGCGCGGGGCGATACGAACCTAGCTCCATGTCCAGTCGAAGAAACGCGAGAGAGAGATTGATTGATTGTGCGACGCGCAATGTTGAGGACGAAAAGCGATTGAACAACGTATATTACATTTTAAACACACAAACACACACACACAAAAAAAATCACAAATGCAGTTGAACCGATTGACTATATAGCGAGTGCGATTTAAGTCACGAGCTCGCTTTCGATACGCAACTTGCGCGTTGTCTATCCGCGCGTGAAGTCAATGTACCTGGGGGACGCAACTGGACCGGGAGGCGGGCGAGGGAGTTGCCACACTCGTCTCGTCGTGCTCCTCTCGTCGTGTCGCTTCCTCTTCCTGCATCATCACCGCTGCTGCTGGCGTCACTGCAGCGCCTTTTTGGCATTGATCCTCGCACATCTTCACACCACTCCTCCCACATTCATTCCACAGCCACACAACACGCACATGCCTGTTCCACCCCTTATCAGTCGTGCCCTACCTTGTTACAGACAAATTCAGAACCTCGTTGGTCACCACCGTGCCTCTTATAAAGCATCAACGTTCATCCTATAAAGTCCCATCGCAAGGGAGAAACACAGAGTGGGCACAAACAAATCTTGTTTTTTGTATCACCTAATAGTTTGTGTGTGTGTGTATATATACTCATACCTGTCGACCCATTATCAGCGGACCTATCTTATTACAGACCAATCCAGACCTCTTAAGGCCTCGACACAGAAGCGTTGTGTCTCTTTGTGCCTATGTGTGTGTCTCTCTCTGTGTGTCTCTCTCTGTGTGTCCCTGTGTTATCTCTCTCTGCTTGTGTGTCTGTGTGTCTCCGTGTCTGTGTTTTGTCTCTCTCTCAAATTTAGCAATCTTTGGAAGAACGTTAATCAACCAGGTAGGGTGTTGACTGTTATGTTAGCCGACACTCTGTGTTGTATTGCATAATATTTCTGAGTTTACTATGTTTGTTTTCTCATTCATTCGTACCTGATGATGATTATTGCTTGTGTTGCAATCGAAACGGCGTAAGCTATTAATTAATTTATTTTTCTTTCAACGTGACTTTACCGAAAGAACCAAAGAGTAATCCAGACCTTATTGGTCACCCCCGTGTCCCTTTAAATCTGAACGTTCATCCTACAAAGTCCCATCGCAAGGGAGAGAAATACAAGCGGGGTATTGAAACGGCTGTGCGGCCGTGTGGATCTGAAAACTAATTTCCCTGTACATACGTGGTGTAAACCATAGGGGTTGACCCAGTACTCGCCTCCACCCACCTCCAATCACCCTTCACCACCATCACCACCACCCACCAACCATCACCTCCACCCACCAACCATCACCTCCACCAACCATCACCTCCACCAACCATCACCTCCACCCACCAACCATCACCTTCATTCACCAACCATCACCTCCACCCACCAACCATCACCTCCACCCACCATCACCTCCATTCACCAACCATCACATCCATCCACCAACCATCACCTTCACCCACCAACCATCACGTCCACCCACCAACCATCACCTCCATTCACCATCACCTCCACCCACCAACCATCACCTCCACCCACCAACCATCACCTCCACCCACCAACCATCACCTCCACCCACCAACCATCACCTCCACCAACCATCACCTCCATTCACCACCCATCTCCACACCAACCTCCACCCACCTCCATCCACTACCAACCATCACCCATATCCACCCACCTCCAACCCATCTCCACCCACCAACCTCCAACCACCTCAATCCACCACCACCACCCACCTGCTCGTTTATTCTACTTCACGTGTGCCAATAAAGTGGCTGACGAGATGTCATCACCCTCGCCCAATGGGTTCGATCCCGAACCCTGACCCTGACGATGTCTGTGGATTTTTATTAGGGTTCCTTCGGGTTTTGCCCGCCACCTTTAAATTATTTGGCTGCTCCGATCACTATTTCCCTGTCCGTACGATTATAAGCCACTTCGAGTGGCATTGTCGTGTGTGGACCGGGTCGCCTCCGAAACAGAGCGAATAGCTTGAGAGGGCTTTAACCCGCTAGATATTTTAGTTTAGCACATGTGAGTCATACGACTTGACTGTTGAACACGTGTGTGTGTGTGCGTGCGTGTGATGATTGCATCCTCTGCGGGTCCAGCTGTTAAGCAATTAACAACACCAAGGATGCCCCGCACCATTACACGTTGTTCATCCCCGCATTGGAACAAAGACAAAGATCCCCCGTGTAGCCTTTTAAGCAGACCGTTGGGGCAAGTGCTGTTGTTAGCGAGTAGCACCGATGAAGGTCGGCGCACGCAGCATCACGCCCGGCCGCCTTTGTCTCCCCAGTGCTGATGTCTAGACACCAGTGCTGATGTATAGACACCGTACTCATTTGAGGCCGAGTCGACCTAGGGGAGATGCAGGACCGGCTCAGATATTCGTCACCAGCGGGAATCGATTGCTGAAACCGGTTTAGATATCGCTGACGGACATCACCGATGTTAGCCGTGGCCGGGGTCTGCGCCGGTCTCACAGCGCAGAGCGCTCACCACCACGCGGACCGCTCACCACCACTCACTACACGTGGACCGCTCACCACCGCTCACCACCACGCGGACCGCTCACCACCACTCACTACACGTGGACCGCTCACCACCACTCACCACCACGTGGACCACTCACCTACAACTCGCGCTCACCACCACTCACTACACGTGGACCACTCGCCTACAACTCGCGCTCACCACCACTCACCACCACGCGGACCGCTCACCTACAACTCGCGCTCACCACCACGCGGACCGCTCACCACCGCTCACCACCACGCGGACCGCTCACCTACAACTCGCGCTCACCACCACTCACTACACGTGGACCGCTCACCTATAACTCGCGCTCACCACCACGTGGACCGCTCACCTACAACTCGCGCTCACCACCACTCACCACCACGCGGACCGCTCACCTACAACTCGCGGATCGCTCACCTACAACTCGCGCTCACCACCACTCACCACCACGCGGACCGCTCACCTACAACTCGCGCTCACCACCACTCACCACCACGCCGACCGCTCACCAACTCGTGCCTCACCAACGTGGGGAATCTCGGTATTGGAAAAACAAACCCCCACGACCGACCACAGCGTGGTGAGCAACTTTATTTACCCAGCGGTGGATTGGCAAAGGGCAATGCGAATTTATTGCGGAGTAAAAACTTAATGCGTGGATGCGAAGTGGACCGAACGGCAGGGCAGTCGGTGGGAGCCTGGTGTCATCCGAAACCGGTTCAGAAATCACGAGCCAGGGCCACCTGTGTACTTTTACAGCCATTGCGTGCGGAGGGATGTTGATTCACCCAGCAGTGGAGAGATGAGGGGATAGAAAAGTGCAGATTGTAAATTGATGGGCCCCGACATAGGCTAGTGGAACATCAAAACTGCTGACACCGACTGGACCAGACCAAGTTTAGTTTTTTTTACTGTCATTCATTGCAGAGTACTTTGTGAAAATAAGACATACACCGCATCTTACCACTGGAAGTAGCATGGCATAGTAGCTTACAGTCCACGCAAACCTCCCACGGTGCAGCTCTCCGTCAGTTTACCAACCATCGGGTGCGTGCAGTGGTTTAATGTGCGTACGAATAGAAACATTGTTTGGTGATGCTGCGTGGGTAATTGTGCGTAGGCACAAATAACGCATGCATACTGTACGCGATACATAACTCGACTTGGTTTTGAACAGACGCGTCTCTTGCCGCAGCTGTCTCAAATCGAATTCTCAATTTTGAGATGACAGTACCAATCCTTTATATTCATCGAACACTCAACACATCCGTCAATAACACTGCAATCCTTCATTACAGGGCCATTGACCAAAACGTCGCCGATTATACACGCTTCCTTTGAAGCAAGTGTGACTGACGCATGTGTTGAGTTCTCTGTGAATATAAAAGATTGGTACAGTGATCTCAAATGGGGCAAATTGCGGACGGAGTGGTGTGTGAAGTCTAGATTTGAGACAGAAACAGGATTGTTGTATACTTATTGAACACAACCCGACATTATATAGCGTGCAGTATACGTGCGTAAACGATTAGCACCAGAGTGGGTGGATGGTAAACTTGTGTTGATGACTCAGGTGGTGTTAGGGTACGGCATTTATTGTATTTATACGGGACGTGCCTGGTTGAACTCAGGTTCACATACGTACCATCTTACTGCATCGTGTCTGAAACTGGTGTAAATGCCAATGTATGGAGCGGTGATCACGGATAACATCACTGGCCAGTGATCTGAAAGTCCGTAAGTGTACCATCCGGCGTGGACAATGTATCGTCTAACCTCCATCACCGACACGGTGTGGAGAGGTCTTCACCAATAATGCATTGAGTGATGAACATGTTTAGCTATTTTAATGCAATTTAATACAGAGCGCCTACAATACTCTTTGGTTCTTTCGGTAAAGTCATGTAGGTATTAGAGAAAAAAAAAGAACCAATGAGTATGGATCCCTGCAGTCACGAAAACGTCAGCGCCTACAATGGCTAACTCTTTATATCCAGTACAGTACTCCATATACAAAATTGGTAGACTTCCTACTTTTTTCCCTTCTTGATACACCTGTATTTTTAGTTGAAAATACATGCCAAACGTAAGGCTATATATGTAACCCCTGAAATATATACTATACTGTAAATGCAGGTCCTGTATATATTCCTTAATCAGATTTTGGTTTACTTTTGGCTCTTTAAACCAATTTATCCCCCGTAGGCCTGATACGTAACTTTCAATGTATAACCTTGCAGCACAAGTTCTAAATGTTGTCATCATTTTAAATGGTTTGCGGGTGTGAGCTTATGGGGTCAACAATAACGTAGCCATATATATTCAAACATTTGATGCACAATGTAAAACCTGTATCATAAGTGGTGAGATATTTAAAGCGATGTTACGTAATCAATGCATTCAAACGAATGTCTCTAGAAGTGTGCACTCAGTCGGCATTGCTATAACTTGCATGAATAATATTAAGACAGGTTTTCAGAAAAACGGTTGAAGCAATAAACATGGTACCTAAACCGTCAAATTCCACAACAGTGAATATTTAAAACTTTATTGTCTCTGAAATGGCAATATTTTTTGCACACCAAATGAATGTGAGGTTACATGTTACTATTGTATGAGCAACGTAACATGCCAGTTTTGTAATATAATTACACCAACTCCCACAAACAAAATAACATGTTACTTTAAGACACATGTATGGGTATGTTTTTGCCTCTTAAATACATATTTAAAATTGGTATGTTTTAAATGGCAAATAACACCACGTTTGTAAAAAAAGGTTTTTTTTAACAGCAAAGAATATTTATGAATAACAATGCTTCATAACACAACATTCCAATTGGTTTTATTACATCTTCAAAGAATAACAAAATCCTTTACGTGTTCCACATTACAGAAAAATCTAAAACATCGATAGAAAACATCTGCATCAGCAAT